CAACCACTGCAATCCTAAATTGCATTAACAGAGGGATACAATCAAGATCAAGTGAGGTTCTAATACCACTCTATAAAGCCTTAGTAAGACCACACCTAGAATACAGTTTTGGTCACCACACTATAAAAAAGAAGTTGAGATTTTAGAAAGAGTGCAGAGAAGATTAACCAGATGATTAGGGGACTGGAGACTAAAACATATGAAGAACGGTTGCAGGAACTGGGTATGTCTAGTCTAGTGAAAAGAAGGACCAGGGGAGACATAATAGCAGTCTTCCAATATTTGAGGGGCTGCCACAGAGAGGAGGGGGTCAAGCTATTTTCCAAAGCACCTGAAGGCCAGACAAGGAATAATGGATGGAAACTGATCAAGAAGAGATTCAGAAGTAAGGAGAAATTTTCTGACAGTGAGAGCAATCAACCAATGGAACAGAAGTTGCCTTCAGAAGTTCTGGGGGCTTCATCACTGAAAGCTTTCAAGAAGAGACTGGACTGCCATCTGTCAGAAATGGTGTATGGTCGGGGGTTGGACTAGATGACCTACAAGATCCCTTCCAACTCTGTTAATCTGTTAAATGCTTATCCTGCATGCTAATTCATAATGTGGCTTCTTTTTCTAGGTCTTTTTCTGTGTCAGTTTTCTATGTTTTTACATTTCTTGGGTTTGAACTTGGAGTTCTATGTCAACCCAATTATAATATGCTGCATCTGACTGAAGCTTAGTACAAGTATTCTCAAACTTTGTGGTGCCAGACACCCCTAAAATGGTACTATATGAATTTATGTGATACCCTTCCCCAGGGGTGAAATGCTCCCGGTTCGGACCGGATCACCCGATCCGGTAGAGATGGCAGTGGGTGGTTCAGAGAACTGGTAGCACAAATCCCTGTGCCCCCCTCCACCATGCCCAGCTGAGCCGCATGATCATCAGAGGCTTTTTTTTTTTACTTTTAAAAGCATTTTTTCTACAACCTCTTCTGACGAAAAAATGCTTTTAAAAGTAAAAAAAAAAGCCTCTGATAATCGCACGGCTCAGCTGGGATCGTCAGAGGCTTTTCAAAGCATTTTTTTCTGCAACCTCTTGGCCGAAGAGGTGATAAAAAAAATGCTTTGATGATCCCAGCTGAATTGCCTGATCGGCAGAGAGGCTTTTCAAAGCATTTTTTAAAAAGCCTCTCTGACGATCCCAGCTGAGCTGCCTGATCACCAGAGAGGCATTTTTTTAAAAAGCCTCTCTGACAATCACAGCTGAGTTGCCTGATCGGCAGAGGCTTTTCAAAGCATTAGAAAAAATGCTTTGAAAAGTTAAAAAAAAAAGTTGGCCACGCCCACCCAGTCACATTACCCCACCACCACCAAGCCACGCCCACAGAACCAGTAGTAACAAATTTTACATTTCACCCCTGCCCTTCCCCCATTAATAAAATCAATTATATTGTTAGAGGTACTAATCAGCAGGAAACAAATATATCACTTCCTTTTATTAATCATTTTAAAATCTATTATTAAATACAGATAGTCCTCGACTTACGTCAGTTCATTTTAGGGACCATTCAAAATTACAGCGGCGCTGAAAAAGAGACTTAATATCACTGTTTTTCACACTAACATCCATTGTAGAATCCCCACAGTCACGTGATCAAAATTCCGCTGTTTGGCAACTGACTCATTTATGACAGTTGAAGTGTCCCGGGGTCATGGGATCCCCTTTTGTGACCTTCTGACAAGCAAAGTCAATGGGGAAGCCAGATTCCCTTAACAACCATGTGACTAACTTAACAACTGCAGTGATTCCCTTAACAACTGTGCCAAGAAAGGTCGTAAAACAGTGAGGACAAAACTCGCTTAACAAATGTTTCACTTAGCAACAGGAATTTGTGGTCGTACATCGAGGACTACCTATAACCACTGGCACTCAGTTCCCACAGCGCCCCAGCCACCAATTAGCTAACCAGAGATTAGCGGGTTACCAGATTAACAAAGTCACACATCTGTTTGCCCTTCGGGATCATCAGATGTCCCAATCACCTCTTCTAGGAGCCACAAGTAGATGGACACCCAGAGGTGCTATTCAGCAGGTTCTGACAGGTTCTGGAGAACCGGTAGTGGAAATTTTGAGTAGCTCGGAGAACCGGCAAATGCCACTTCTGGCTGGCCCCAGAGTGGGGTGGGAATGGAGATTTTGTAGTATCCTTCCCCTGCCACACCCACCAAGCCATGCCCACAGAACCAGTAGTATAAAAATTTGAATTCCACCACTGTGGACACCCCTAACCCCATCTTCTCTCAAGTATTACACAACTTCCCCCAAAGTTTCTTCTACATCTACAGAGGTCTGGAATTATTTCCAGTGGGTTTTGGTGAAGAGATACGCCATTGAACGGAACTAAGGGGTGTGCATAAGCGCACCAGCATGCCTACCATCCCTGTCCTAATGTTTTCTTTTATTTGTATCCTTTTCATGTATTTATAGTTATGTTTACACCTGTATCTGTCATAAAATACATGCTTGACGAAATAAAGTAAATAAAATAAATAAAAATAAATAAAACGAGTCAACGTGATTAGCGGACCAATCTTTTACTCTGACTTTAAACGTTTTCATGACACTCCAGACAAAATTAAACTGTAATTTAAACTATTTAAATTTAAACTACTATTAAACAAGCACACATAAAATAAAAATGAATAATCACTAAAGAGAAAAGAAAATAGCTATACAAGCAACAGCAAATACAGAAAGACAAGAAGTAACAGATGGAAACGAATCAAGGAGAGAAGCAACCTAGAATTAAGAAGCTATTTCCTGATGGTTAGAACAATTAATCAGTGGAACAACTTGCCTCCAGAAGTTAAGAATGCTCCAACACTGGAAGTTTTTAAAAAGAGATTGGACAAGCATTTGTCTGAAATGGTAGAGGATTTGCTGCCTGAGCAGAGGGTTGGACTAGAAGACCTCCAAGGTCCCTTCCAACTTCGTTACAAGTAGACCTCGACTTACGACCACAACTGAGCCCAACATTTCTGTTGATAGTGAGACATTTGCTAAGTGAGTTTTGCCCTATTTTACGACTTGTCTTGCCATGTTCGTTAAATGAATCATCGCAGTTGTTAAGCAAGTCACCATGTCGTTAAGTGAATCGGGCTTCCCCATTGGTTATCAGAAAGTCACATAAGGGAATCCCATGACCCCGGGGACACTGCAACCGTCACAAATACGGGTCAGTTGTCAGGCACCCGAATTATCATCACGTGATCAAGGGGACGCTTGCAAGAGTCGTAAGTGTGAAAAATGGTCATATGTTGGGCTGTTGGTTTGGCAATTTGGTTGCAAAAGTTGGGTCACCATTCAAGGAGACATCGTCAGTGTGCTTTGAATTGTGCCAGTCCAAATTAAGCCCAACTACCAACCCTGGCTCTGAAAGTTGGACCATAAGGAAGGCTGAACGCCAAAGAATTGAGGCCTTTGAACTCTGGTGCTGGAGAAGACTCCTGTGAGTCCCTTGGACTGCAAGGCAATCAAACTGGTCAGTCCTAGAGGAGATCAACCCTGACTGCTCTTTAGAAGGCCAGATCCTGAAGATGAAACTCAAATACTTTGGCCACCTAATGAGAAGGAAGGACTCACTGGAGAAGAGCCTAATACCGGGAACGATTGAGGGCAAAAGAAGAATGGGACGGCAGAGAACGAGGTGGCTGGATGGAGTCACTGAAGCAGTCGGCGTGAGCTTTAAATGGACTCCAGAGGATGGTAGAGGACTGGTGGAACATTGTCCAGTGGTGGGTTTCAAAAAATTTTACTACCGGTTCTGTGGGTGTGGCTTGGTGGGTGTGGCATGGCTTGGTGGGCGTGGCTTGGTGGGCATGGCAGGGGAAGGATACTGTAAAATCTCTATTCCCATTCCACTCCAGGGGAAGGTTACTGCAAAATCCCCATTTTCTCCCGATCAGCTGGGAATTGGGAGGCAGAGAATAGATGGGGGCGGGACCAGTCAGAATTTTTACTACCGGTTCTCCGAACTACTCAAAATTAACGCTACGGGTTCTCCAGAACTGGTCAGAACCTGCTGAAACCCACCTCTGACGTCGTCCATAGGGTCACGATGGGTCGGACACGACTTCACAACTGTGGTGGGTTCCTCCCAATTCGGTCCGGTTCGGCCGAGCCGATAGCAGTGACAATATGACATCACCGAACCGGTTCTCCCCCCCCGCCCTCCCCCTCCCACCCACGTTATTCTTACCTTTTATTTGGTCCCACCCCCAATCTCTTGCTGCCTCCTGAGTCCCAGCTGATGACTAGAGGGAAAAAAACTGTTTAAACTCTTGCGGGGCTTCAAAGGGCCGTCCTACAGCTGATCAGTGTTAAAAGCAAACAAATGAGTGGGATCGTAAGTGTGAGGACCTTCCAGAAATGACTCTGACCAGCTAACCACGCCCACTTAGTCACATGACCTCCAAGCCACACCCCAAAATAATCCACGCCAACACAACCGGTAGTAAAAAAATTTAGAACCCACCGCTGCTTCGCAACTAACAACAACAACAATAACCAACCCGAGCTACTAATATTCAAATACATTTCACGGTCCTAAGTCACTTTTGTCAGTGCCGGTCCCTAAAACGAGCCGTTGTAAATCGAGGACTACCTGGATTCTGTTCTGTTTTTACAGAGGTCCTCAAACTTGGCAGACTTCAACTCCCAGAATTCTCCAGCCAGCATAGCTGGCTGGAGAATTCTGGGAATTGAAGTCCACAAGTCTTAAAGCGGCCAAATTTGAAGTCCTCTCTAATAGACCCTGGCAACAACTTTTTCCGACGCCACCTGTTCAGCCCGGCGCCGAACACGACACCGCGGCCCGCCATTGGCTCTGCCGCGTCCGCCGCGCATCCAACCGGCGGAGGCGGATCGTGGAGGCGCCGGGTATAAACGGGCTGCCGAAGGAGGCTTGCGCGTTTGGCGAGGCGCATCCACCGCGATGGGGAAGGCGCAAGGAGACGCGGGGCGGGAGCGGCTGCCTAAGATGCGGCTGGGCTGCCTCTCCGGCTCCCAAGCGCCCAGCATCCTCCTCCTCCTCCTCCTCTTCCTCTCCCCGGGGACCCTGGCCGAGGTTTGCCTTTGCGCGTCGGAGCGGCGCGGCTGGGGAAAGGTGGTATCTCCGCTGACGCCGCTTCTCGCTCTTTTTGCTCTTTGCAGGATCGCAGCCCGGAGCGCCGGTGCCGCCTGCCGTGCGAGTGCCCCGCCGAGCCGCCCGCCTGCGAGCCCGGCGTGCCGCCGGTCTTAGACGGCTGCTCCTGCTGTCTGACTTGCGCCCGGCAACGCGGGGAAAACTGCTCCGAAGCGACGCCCTGCGATGAGAGCGCCGGCTTGTATTGCGACCGCGCAGCGGGAAGGGAAGCCGGCTTGGGCGTCTGTATGGGTAAACGGCTCTCTCGAGCTCTCTCCCGCAGGCACTTTCGGCCTCTTCTTGAACGGGGCTTTCCTGTCGCTCCCAGCCCGAGAGGCGCTGTCTCTCGGAGGGAGAGGAATCTTCTGAGGCAGGGGTCCCAACCGGACTTCAACTCCCAGAATTCCCCAGCCAGCTTTCCTTTCCTTCTGATCTATCTCAATTTAAAAAAAAAAAAACCGATCAGAAAAAGCTTACCTGGGCAGAGTAGCTAAGTAGGGTAAGGTCTGGTTACTCTTTGGATGGGAGACTGTCAGTGAATTCTGGGGCAGATTGAGAAATCCAAATAACAATCAAAGAGGCATCCCACAGGTGCTTTTTCAAGAGGCAATTGGACTTTCTGTTTTTTCTTTGAAGATGTTTTGTTTCTCATCCAAGAAGCTTCTTCAGCTCTGACTGAATGGAGGGGAAATTCTTCAGTCAGAGCTGAAGAAGCTTCTCGGATGAGAAGCAAAACGTCTTCAAAGAAAAACCAGAAAGTCCAGTTGCCTCTTCAAAAAGCACCTTTGGCACAACCATGACCTGGATGACTAAGAATCTCCATAAATCAAGAAGGCAATGGCCATAATTGGTACCACGAATACTTTATGGATGTGCATGAAATCACCAGGAGGTCAGCTTGAAGATGGCTCCATCTTTTTGCTAGATTTAACTGTACTTTCTGGTTTTTCTTTGAAGATTTAAGATCTTTTTCATGCTGGTTTCCTTTCCTGCTCTTGGTATTGATATGACCTGAGAATTCCAACAAGCTAGATTAGAATTAGAATTAGAATTATATTTTTTTATTGGCCAAGTGTGATTGGACACACAAGGAATTTGTCTTGGTGCATATGCTCTCAGTGTACATAAAAGAAAAGATATGTTCATCAAGATTCACACATAGCTTGATTTATTTATTTTTCTTCTGCTTCAGACCTTGAAGGAGACAACTGTGTTTTTGATGGGATTATTTATCGAAGCGGGGAAACCTTCCAGCCCAACTGTAAATACCACTGTACCTGCAGGGATGGACAGATCAGCTGTGTGCCCCTCTGCAATGTTGATTTGTTGCTTCCTGGCCCCGAATGCCCCTTCCCAAGGAAAGTTGAAGTTCCAAAGGAATGCTGTGAACAGTGGTCGTGTGATCCTAAAACGGAAGACACCGCAGACTTTGCAATGGAAGGTGTGTAAAGCAGGCGTGGGTTCTACTTACGTTTACTACCGGTTCGCAATGGGGCCGCATGCACGCACGCTCTTCTGTGCATGCACAGAAGCGTTTTCATGATGTCAGGGTCAGTGGGTGGGGTCTCCTGCCGGTTTTACTACCGGTTCTATAGAACCGGTGTGAACCAGGGGCAACCCACCACTGGTGTAAAGCAGGGGTGAAATGCTCCCGGTTTGGACCGGATCGCCCGATCCGGTAGTGATGTCGGCGGGTGGTTCGGAGAACCGGTAGCAAAAATCTGTGCGCCCCACTCACACCATACTCAGCTGAGTTGCACGATCATCAGAGGTTTTTTTTTTTTTTTTTACTTTTAAAAGCATTTTTTCTACAACCTCTTCCGACAAAAAACACATTTTACATTTCACCCCTGGTATAAAGGCTTTAGAGTGGTGTCTTTGCTTCTTCGGAAGTATCTACTGTGCTCTTGCGACCCTTCAAGACCAGTTGTGACTTATCAGTGCCAGTCATGGAGGGGCACAATTCTTGGGAATGTATGGCAGATAAGAACATACGTTTCTGTCTCAGTGCATTTGAGTTTATTTCGTGTAGTGGTACAGATCTCTGATCTCTTCCAGAAGAAATTAGGAGAGCTTAATTCAGGGGTGTCAGACTCGATTTCATGGAGGGCCACATCAGGGTTGTGTTTGACCGCGGAGACAACTGGGTGGGTACGGCCAGGGTGGGCGTGGCAACTTGACGTCACTTGTGTCAGGGGCATCTTTGGTGGCCTGCGGTGTCTCTGCCAGCGAAAATGGGCTCCCAATCTCCGTTTTCGGCTGGGACGGACTCCTGCAACCCTTTGCCAGTGAAAACGGAGCTTGGGAGGGCCACGTTTTCGCTGGCAGAGGCATCATGGGCCAGTTTTTCGCTGTTCCCAGGGCGGCCCTGCGGGCCACCTCCGGCCCATGGACCTTGAGTTTAACACTTCTGGCTTAATTCCTTGCATCAAGTTGATCTAAAAGAGTAAAATGGATGTGGAAGCCCTAGGACAGTGATGGCTAACCTTTTTGCCATCACGTGCTTGGGGGGGGGGAGCGGGGGAGGTTCCCACATACACGTGGCCATACCCATAATTCTATGCGCCCCGCCCACGCGCACGTGACCCCCCCCCTCCTGGCAGGTGATGGCCCTATGGGCCCATTTTTCTTTCTCACCTGGCTCCAGATCCTCTCTATGAGTCTAGGGAGGGTGAAAACAGCCTTCCCCACCCCCTCAGAGGAGCCTCTCTAGGAGTCTCTGGAGGCTGGGGACAGCAAAAAACGTCACTTCCTGTCCAACCGGAAGTTGGGAAACGGGGCATTTCTCACCTCCGGAGGGCCTCCAAGGGGGGTGGGTGGGGAAGGCTGTTTTCGCCCTCCCTAGACTCATAGAGGGGATCTGGAGCCAGGTGAGAAAGAAAAATGGGCCACCCCACCCCCCCAGGCCCTCTGGAGGCAGGAAACAGCCTGTTTCCCTGCCTTCTGGTAGGCCCCAAAATCAGCTGACCAGTGCACACATGCATGTTGGAGCTGAGCTCGCGTGCCATCTGATATGGTTACGCATGCCATATGTGCCATAGGTTCGCCATCACGGCCCTAGGAGCCCTTCAAAATTTGTTTCTAATCCTCAATTTACAACAGTTCATTTAGTGACCATTGGAAGTTACAACGGCACTGAAAAAAGTGACTTATGACCAATTTTTCACATGACCAGTGCAGCATCCCCATGGTCACTTGATCAAAATTCAGACTTTTGGCAATTGGCTCATATTTATGACACTGAAAATTTCCTGGAATCATATGATCCCCTTTTGGGACCTTCTGACAAGCAGAGTCAACCATTCACTTAACCATATTAGAGGAAGTCCTTGAGTTAACAAGAGTTTATTTAGTGACTGTTCAGACTTACAACTTCACTGAAAAAAAAATGCCTGACGACCGGTTTTTACACATAAGATCATTGCGACATCCCCCATGCTCATGTGATCAAAATTCAGATGCTTGGCAAGTGACTCATATTTATGACAATTGCACTGTCCTGGGGTCATAGGATCCCGACCTTGATTGCGACCTTTCGACAAGCAAAGTCAATGGGGAAGTCAGATTCACTTAACATCTTGTTACTAAATTAACAACTGCAGCGACTCACTTAACAAATGCGGCAAGAAAGGTCGTAAAATGGAGCAACGTTCACTTAACAAATGTCTCGCTTAGCAACAGAAATTTTGGGCTCAATTCTGGTCGTAAGTCGAGGACTACCTGTGCTAATTTAACAACTGCAGTGATTCACTTAAGAACTGTGGCAATAAAAAAGGCAAAACTCACTTAACTGTCTCACTTAGCAATAGGAATTTTGGGGTCAGTTGTGGTCATAAGTCAAGGACTATCTGTATTTAAGTTAATTGAAAAAGACATTGTTCTCTGTTACTTGCATTTAATACTCAATCATGTTAAGTGGGTTTTTTTTCTTCTTCTTCTGGTGATTCACATTTCTTTGTCCTGGTCCTAAATTCTTTTTTAGAGTGCACTTCTTGGCGCATTATTCAAGGACCAAGTAAGGCCTTCAGCCTTAAAATGGTTGTGCCTCTCTGGACTGTATTGGGAAAGTCACTATGCATGGTATGGGAGACTGGAGAAATCTTGCTTATGTTGGCTTCCTTCTCAACGTGGCAAAACAACCTTAAATCAAATGTTCAGTTCTTAAGATGGCCCTAAGGTTAAATATAATGCTTAAAAGCCATGCGGGATTAGTCATCCAAGACCACGATTCATTTTTGGTTCCGTGCCACCAAATTCTGCCACTCGTAAAACTTCCAGTTTAAATCTTATAGCATAAGGTTCGTGTGAAATCAGTGTGATAGTGTTAAAAAACAAAACTCTAGTATTGTGGGAAAGCCTTAACTTAAAAGTTTTCTTCTCCTTCCAATGTCTTGTAATAAGGAATGACATTAGAGGCAGTTTGGTATAGTGGTTAGGGCACTAGGCTAAAAACTGGGAGACCATGTCACCTTCAGCATGGATGATGTTTTGGGGTAGTCCCTCCCTTTCAGCCCTAGAAAAAACGTAATGGCATACCACTTCTGAAATCTCCCTAAGGAAACTACAGGGATACTTACTTACTTACTTATCTATCTATCTATCTATCTATCTATCTATCTATCTATCTATCAGCAAGTACAAGGAAACAAGTAACTGTATAGACATAGACATGGACACATGAAAAAAATTGGCACAAATAAAAGGATATAAATAGGCAAAACACAGCCATAAACACATAGAATGATTACATATAAATGGGGACAGTAGGACAGGGACGGTAGGCACGCTGGTGCGCTTATGCACGCCTCCTTAGGGACCTCTTAAGAAACATGAAAGGTCCACGGTAGACAGTTTAAGGTAAAAGGTATGGGGATTAGCGAGACTAACAACAGGATCAGGTAGAGTGTTCCAGACATTTACTACTCTATAAGGTACGTTCAGTCAATCATTGGAAGTCAAAACTGATTCAAAAAACACCTAAAAAAAATAGGCATTTAATGAAATTGCTTTATGGCTATCGATACAAAACAGTCAGATATGGCAGGGGTCTCCAACCTTGGCAATTTTAAGATTTATGGACTTCAACTCCCAGAATTCCTCAGCCAGCTTTGCTTTGGCTTCAAAGCTTTGCTGGCTGAGGAATTCTGGGAGTTGAAGTCCACAAGTCTTAAAGTTGCCAAGGTTGGAGACCCCTGAGATACGGCACACACGGAGATGCATTCCAACTTTATAAGAGCCAAAGACCAGAAACAGAAAATAAATGAAAGTTCCTTGGTTCTAAGCTCAGAGACCACCAAGAACCCATCATTTCAACCCTGAACCAGAAATACCGGTAGTCCTCAACTTACAACCACAATGGAGCCCAAAATTTATGTTGCTGAGTGAAAAATTTGTTGAGTTTTGCCCCACTTTAGGACTTTTCTCACCACATTTGTTAAGTGAAGCGCTGCAGTTGTTGAATTAATAACACGGTTGTTAAATGAATCTTGTTTCCTCATTGATTTTGCTTGTCAGAAGGTCGCAAAAGAGGATCCCATGACACTGCAACCGTCATAAATGTGAGTCAGTGGTCAAGCATCCGAATGTATATCATGTGACCCCTGCTGCAAAGGTCGTAAGTGCGAAAAATGACCATAAGTCACTTTATTCAGTGTCGTCACTTCAAATGGTCACTAAATGAATTGTTGTAAGTCAAGAACTATCCGTATTTAACACAGGACAGTTCATGGCTAATAATTACCTTCACATAACATTCAGGGCCATTTTTGTGAGTTAGCTTGTATAAATTACCTCCCTGTATTGTCTTTTATTGGTCTAAAACATTGAATAACATCAAGGTACTCAACCACAAAGGTAATTTATAACTATGGGGAGGCATTGTGTCAATTGCACTGTGTCAGTTGCACTATCAGAATATTATACGCTGCCCGTCTTCCATTAAGCTCTCAAGGAGAGGAGATATTATGTCATGTCCTCATGTATGCAATTCATAGGGAGGGAGATTTCACTAATTTTATACCATAAATATCCTATGTGGTGTTTTCAATTACAGTGACCACCAATGAACCCCTGCATAAAAATTTGGGGTGGGGGGGAAATTGCATACAAGCTCCACCATACGATTCTCTTTAAGCCTGCACAATCCATGTTTTACGATGTTTACAGCAACAGCAAAACAGCAGGCTGGCAACGGAATCATCAATCATGCATAAAAATTCCCACCATTTTGGCATGCACAGTTTACAAAGGTTTTTTTTCTCCCCAATCATAATCTCTCATGGATTACGATTGTAGAAGTTCTGTCTCGCAACCTCTTGTAGAAGTTTAGAATTCCAGAGAACCTCACTGAGAAAGGCTGATCTTAAGGTTCCTGGGTATCTTTTGAACAGAAGATATTTAGGGAACATGAAAACTGGTGCCTTGAAGTTTTCGATTCTTAAGGTTGTGAGGAGAAACTTGAAAACCAACATAGTGAATTTGTGGCTCCTGGAGGGACACAGTTGAACAATTAAGAACGGGTGTCAGTGGTGGATTGTTACCGGTTCTCCCTGGTTCTTGCGAACCGATAGTGGAAATTTTGAGTAGTTCGTAGAACCTGTAAATACCACCTCTGCCTGGCCCCACCCCCAATCTATTCGCTGCCTCCCGAGTCCCAGCTGATTGGCTAGAAGGAAAAAATCAGGGCTCACTTGACAAAGAAGAGGGGGAAAAAACAAGACGCCGTAGCTTTAAATTGAGAAGCCAAGAAGCCTTCCAACTGATCAGCTAGAACCAATCCGCTCCTTGTAAACCGCTCGGTGGTGGTAGATTGGCAATTGAGGCCAAGCTGCCTGAAAGCGATTTCCGATGCTCTCGGTGGTGGCAGAGTGGCAAAAAACTGTTTAAATTCTTGCCGCGGCGCTTCAAAGGGCCGCCCTACATCTGATTAGCGGTAAAAGGCAGTGTGGTGGTAGACCAGTGCGCTCCAAAAACAAATGGGTAGACCGGAATGCTCCAAAAACAAATGGGTAGACCAATGCGCTCCAAAAACAAATGGGTAGATTGGTATGCTCCAAAAACAAATGGATAGACCAGTACGGCTCTGCAAGCAGTTAAAAGCCTGGTAGACCAGTACCTCTGCTAAATTCTAAAGAATTGTTTGTCACATGACCATCAAACCACGCCTACAGAATAAGCCACGCCCACAGAACCAGTAGTAAAAAATTTTAGAACCTACTTCTGGGGGGTGTCAATCATTGGATTGAAATGTAATTGAGAATTATTTTAAACTTACGTTCAGTGTGGTTGCTTCCCAAAAATTTCTCTTTCTGTGTTATGAAAAATTGCACTTTAATGGTTGATTTTGAAGGGACTCTGAGAACAGTGCTCAAATTTTTGGAGGGCCAGTCATAGCCCTAAAATCTAAAAATATTTATTTTCCTGGCTAAGAAAATAGTGACCCGGAACAGTCTAGCTGTTGCATTCTACCACATAAGGCCTTTCTTTAGACAAAGTCGTTTTTATTCTCCCAAAACATTGAATAACAATACTGCTTTGAATTTTAATTGCTGCTTTTATTTTGTTAGATTATTGTTTATTTGCTCCTGAATATATTTTACATGATGTTTCCATGTGTGCTTTTATTATTTTTGATTTTTTTTTCCCCTTTAATTCCTGGTATTAATTATATATTGCTATGAAATTTTGTAAGTAGCTAATGTTACCATATACAGGTAGCCCCTTGGCTTACAACAGTTAATTTAGTAACCGTTTGAAGTTACAACGGCACTGAAAAAAGTGACTTATGACGGTTTTTCACACTTATGACTTAATTGACACACTTATGACACACTTATTGCAGCATCCCCATGGTCATACGGTGAAGATTCAGATTGACTCATAGTTATGACAGTTGCTGTGTGCCACAGTCATGCAATCTCCTTTTGCGACCTTCTGACAAGCAAAGTCAATGGGGAAGCGAGATACACTTAACAACCGTGTTACTAACTTAACAATTGCAATGATTCACTTAACAACTGTGTCAGAAAAGGTCGTGAAATGAGGCATAATTCTCTTAGCAACTGCCTCGCTTAGCAACAAAAAGTTTGGGCTCCATTGTGGTCATAAGTCAAGAACTATCTTTATATAAAATGAAGTTTAGCCTATTAAAGAAATGCAGCCCTTCAAACCTCAGTGTCTATATTAGATTGACTACAAATCTGTCTTGAGTATAGATTTGGGACCTTACAGTCAAGGTTATCCTTGCTATATTACAAAATACATACTTTTTTGAAAATCATTTTTTAAAATTACAGTTTCCTCATATGGAAATATTTATAGACTTCCTCTTGAGAAGCTACCCAAGGCAGCAAACTAAACAAATATTAAATCAATGTGGTGTACAAAAAAAGACAGTAAATACCTTGAGAAAGAGAAATTAGTTGTCAACCCTTACATCAATGAACAATCAGAAGAGGAATAACATAACAGCTGGAAACTCAGTGTAATGTTTCTATTTCCCTACTTAGGTTATTCTCTGCAGTAAATTCTTATTTTATCATCTTCATCCACCTAATGTCTTTTGATGGTGAATTATTAGGAAGTCCTCCACTTATGACCAATTGTTTAGCGACTGAAGTTATGACAGCACTGAAAAAGTGGCTTATGACGGGTGTTCACAATTACAATGGTTGCAGCACCCATGTGATCAAATTTAGGCACTGGCAACCAGCATATAATCCAGTAGTGGGTTTCAATTTCGGTCGCTACCGGTTCGCTTATGGGCACGTGCGCATGCGTGCGCGATGCTTCTGTGCATGCGCGGAGCCGTCCGGGTGGGTAGGTGGAGCCATCGGGGCAGGTAGGCGGAGCCTCCCGCAGTCGCCGCTACACAGAGGACCTGTATAATATGGCCCCTATGGCTGAATTTGTTTGGAGTTTTTTTTTGCAAAAGTTATAATCTTTAGTAGCCTCCACTTGGAAGGATGAGAATTCAATAATAGGCAGTGACAGATGTTTCTCTATTAGGGCGCAAAGAGAAAATATCTGCTGTGAACTCTGCATAGGCATCAGGAAGGGCATCCGGCCTGTAAATGCTCAGCTCCATTTAGAGCTCGAACTCCACCCTAATCAAAGGGATTACGGGGTGATAAAAGTACTTTGTAGCCTGCAGGACATGATTGAGCCATGCACTGATCGCCAACTATATCCTTTCCAGTTTGAAGCTAATATCTTAATCTTTTACTGTGTGAGAACCTGTGGGCAACTGAGCAGTTCATTGTGGCAATTTTGCCTTCAGGATTCAGACAGGAAGCTACCTTGGGGGCTGAAGGTTCTGACTCCAGTTCTAACTGCATTGAGCAGACAACGGAATGGAGCGCCTGTTCCACCAGCTGTGGCATGGGAGCCTCCACCAGAGTCACCAACAAGAACCCGATGTGTGAGATGGTGAAAGAGATGAGGCTATGTGAAGTGCGCCCCTGTGAAAAGAGTCCACCACCTGATAAGGTACGTTCCAGTGCTGGTGCTAATTCTGTATTAATTTTGGAGAGAAGAGCATGTAGAACTTTGGCTTGGAGGTAAAGGTTGAGATGGTTATTAAGTTCCTCATTTCAGTTATTTCTACCAACCTGTTTGTGAGCGTCCTGGGTTTCTTAGATTGAGCCACTGTGGGAAATACCATGCTGGACTAGACTAGGGATCTCCAACCTTGGCAACTTGAAGACTTGTAGACTTCAACTCTGAGAAATTCTGGCTGAGCAATTCTGGGAGTTGAATTCCACAAGTCTTAAAGTTTCAAAGTTTGGAGACTTGTGGACTAGATGAATCTCAACCTGATCCAGCAGGTCATTTAGGGTGCATTTATCGTCAGAGGGACGCAGTGACTCAAGAGGGACACGGTGGCTTAGTGGCTAAGACGCTGAGCTTGTTGATCAGAAAATTTGGCGGTTCGAATCCCTAGCACCGCGTAATGGAGTGAGCTCTCGTTACTTGTCCCAGCTTCTGCCAACCTAGCAGTTCGAAAGCATGTAAAAATGCAAGTAGAAAACTAGGGACCACCTTTGGTGGGAAGATAACAGCGTTCCGTGCGCCTTCGGTGTTTAGTCATGCTGGCCACATGACCACGGAGACGTCTTCGGACAGTACTGGCTCTTCGGCTTTGAAACGGAGATGAGCAGAGTCGGGAACGACTAGCACATATGTGTGAGGGGAACTTTTACCTTTACCTATCTTCAGAAGTGGCTTTGGAAGTGGAATTGTCATTGCGACAACATAGATTTTTGGTAGTCTCCCATCACACATTGAACACAAGTGCAACCAGAGCAATGGGACTGTTGCAGACTAGCCAATGTCTCAAAAGATGGCCTACGATCTCTCAAGCCATTTGTTAATTCTATAATTCTACTCACAAAACTGATTCAGTGCGGAAATTCCTTTAGTCAGAACTCATATATACTGTGAGTACAATATGGAATCTGATGCTGCAGCGAACATATCAGCAAACTAGATATGTGGCTGGGATTTCCTGATTATCGTGTTGACTAGGAATTATGAGAATTGTAGTCCCAGCCAGGGTGGATTTGATTTAAATCGAGTTGATTTAAATCACTAGTAAAAAGGCTTGATTTAAATCAACTCGATTTAAATCATAATTTTTAAAGAGCAACTGTCATCTCTGCTACTCCTTTGACCCACTGTTGACTCACCGATAGTCCCAGTGTTGCAGAATATACAGCCTCATGCTACGTAACTAAGCTCCATTTCATGCTGAATAAACTAAATTATTTATGTATCTTAAATAGAAAACTATCTTACGATAGATTTTTACCCCAAAAGTTTTTTATTAAAATAAATTCGATAAAAATAAAAAAAAATCCAATTTAAATCAAAAAAATCCGATTTAAATTTAAAAAATCTGTTGGTTTCTTTTTTGATTTTTTAAAAAAAATCATTGATTTTTATCCACCCTGGGACTCCCAGCAAAACCAGAAAGTACAAGCTGAGCAAGATTCCCTTAGGGGGAGCCCAGTACAAAATAGACTTACGAAAATCTATGCTTGTGACAGATGTCTTTGGGAGCTAGCCTATATGGTTTTATGTAGGCGCTACCATCAGTACCGTTGTAACAGCTGGGTCCAAATAGTAGCTTGCAGTGCTACTGGATCGCCAAAATAAGGCCATCTAGGCAGTATCTTAGATGTCTGGAAGACCTTTGTCGTTCTTGACATTAGGAGAAAAGCAACCTGGAATTAAGGAGAAACTTCCTAACTGAGAACAATTAACCGGTGGAACAGCTTGCCTTCAGAAATTGTTGGTGCTTCATCACTGGAGAATTTTTAAGAAGAGACTGAACAGCCACTTGTCTGAAATGTTATAGGATCTCCTGCTTGAGCAGGGGGTTGGACTAGAAGGCCTCGAAGGTCCCTTCCAGCTCTATTTTGTATTAATTAATTCCGAAGTAGCAGTAAATGTACTACTGGAAGCACATGCCATACAACAATATGGCCATCTTTCAACTCTCAGTTTAAAGAATTGATTCCATCTATATCCCAGCCTTCCAAATAATGAGCTGGTGTGGTTGAATAATTGGGGTCTGCCTCCAAGGATATTTCAAAGATTTTGAGCCATGTCAAACTTTCTGCGTCAGACTTCCCAGTGGTACTATAAGATTATTCTGGGAAAGTTTTCTCTAAGAAAAGAAGAGACATTTGGGGTAATGGACATTTATTCCCTTTTATGGCAGAAGAGTTGGGTTCATGTGAAGTGTTCATACCACTTTATAATGCCTTGGTAAGCCCACACTTGGAATACGGCATCCAGTTTTGGTCACCACAATGTAAAAAGGATGTTGAGACTCTAGAAAGAGTGCAGAGAAGAGCAATAAAGATGATTAGGGTACTGGAGGCTAAAACATATAAAAAATGGTTGCTGGAACTGGGTATGTCTAGTTTGATGAAAAGAAGGACTAGGGGAGACATGATAGCAGTGTTCCAATATCTCAGGGGTTGCCACAAAGAAGAGGGAGTCAAGCTATTCTCCAAAGCACCTGAGGGTAGAACAAGAAGCAATGGGTGGAAACTAATCAAGGAAAGAAGCAACCTAGAACTAAGGAGAAATTTCCATTAAGATCCCCAAAAGTAAATATATGAAATAAGGTCCATCTTAACCCGCCAATTGTTGATTTACAGCCTGTAGGAACCCATTTGTAAAAAAAACGTTGTGTACATAAGAAAAGTGGTGTCTTCCGTTAATTCCTCACTTTTTTTCCTGCAATTTCTCTATAACCACGCAATTCTGAAATTGCCAGACTTTGGACTGTTGGTCTGAGCTCCGAGCTTGGCAATTCGGTTGCAAACATTTTGTCACCATTCGAGGAGACATCGTCAGTGTGTCGAATTGTGTGTCGAATTGTCGAGTTGAATTGTGCTCATCTGTTAGATGACTGGCCTTTAAATACCTTTTTATGTGAAAGGTATTTTTATTACGCCAGACTTGTCTAAGGGTAAAGTTTTCCATGCAACATTTTTCTGCACAGAACTAATCCTTCCATCAGAACTAATCCTTCCATCCCCTCCATCCACCATCGAGCCAGAACCAATGAAACTTCTTGGATGAGAAGCGAGACGTCTTCTTCTTCCTCAAGGGAAAAAATAAAGTCCAGTTGCCTTTTGAAAAAGCAGTTTTGAGGCAACCATGACCTGGATGACTGAGAATCTTCATAAACATTTTCTGCACAGATTTCTTATTTAGCATCCTTGCCCAGACAGTCTAGTTTCCATTCTAATCCAAAAAGCTTTACAAGTGGTCTCCAGCCAAAATAGCATAAAAGAATAGAATAGAATAGAATAGAATAGAATAGAATAGAATAGAATAGGCCAAGTGTGATTGGACACACAAGGAATTTATCTTGGTGCATATGCTCTCAGTGTACATAAAAGATACATTTGTCAAGAATCATAAGGTACAACACTTAATGATAGTTAGTCATAGGGAAACAAGTCAATATAAATCTTAAGGATACCAGCAACAAGGTTACAGTCATACAGTCATAAGTGGGAGGAGATGGGTGATAGGAACAATGAGAAGATTAATAGTAGTGCAGACTTAGTAAATAGCTTGACAGTGTTGAGGGAATTATTTGTTCAGCAGAGTGATGGTAGAGAAATGATACCCGTTCCATTTTAATGTATCACAACAATGTTGCATCAAATTGAATGTGAGCCTCCACCAAATTAATGTTCGGTTCTTTCTCGTAGAAGGGGAAAAAATGCCTCCGAACCATAAAGTCTCCCACAGCTGTCCATCTGGAATACCAGAACTGCACGAGCATCCAGATGTATAAAGCCCGTTACTGTGGCATCTGCAATGATGGACGATGCTGCACGCCACACATGACCAAAACAATCCAGGTGGAATTCCATTGCCCTCAAGGCAACACCATCCAGCATCCGGTGATGTCCATTATTAGCTGTGTGTGTCACAAGAACTGTCCTCAGAATAGCAACGCTTTTGTGCGAAAGCTCAGTTGAATGAGCCGCTCCAAAAATCACCAGACTAGCCTTCTGATGCTTTAATGTAACATGTATCTTCTCTCTTTTGGGGGGAGGGCGGAAGGGTCAGACGCTTTGATTCCCGAATCCCGTCTGTCTATCATTTGATTTCTAGATAACCCAGTTCAGTTCCTGTGGAATTTTTTTTTTTTTTTTGAAATTGTGCTTGCTTCAAACAATGTTGCCTCATTAAAATATTGTCACTTGGGAAATGTGCAACTTTTCTTTCTTAGCGGTTTTTCCTTTCTTGGCTACCTGCAGGAGTGAAATCCAGCAGGTTCTGATAGGTTCTGGAGAACCGGTAGTGGAAATTTTGAGCAGTTCGGAGAACCGGCAAATATCACCTCTGGCTGGCCCCAGAGTGGGGTGGGAATGGAGATTTTGCAATATCCTTCCCCCAGGAGTGGGGAGGAAATGGGGATTTTGTAGTATCCTTCCCCTGGAGTGGAGTGGGAATGGAGATTTTGCAGTATCCTTCCCTTGCCACGCCCACCAAGCCACGCCCATGCCCACACACACCAAGCCATACCCACAGAACCGGTAGTAAAAAAAAATTGGATTTCACCACTGGCTACATGTACTACCCTGTCATAAATCACATTCCCTGGACTAATTGTTTGAATTTAAGGGGCGCAAGATTTTTGTAATCTAGAATAGTAGTGGCCAAAATTGTGGAAACCTTTTGGGAAAAGTGTATTTTTGAAGTTTGATGGCTAATAACACCACTTTTGGGGGGAGTTTCAAGATAATTATATTCCATTGCCGGAATGGCCTGGGAATAGCCCAGAGCTTAACCCAATTGAAAATCTATGGAGCCGACTAAAGAAACTTGTTAGTCAGAAGCGACCCAGCAATAAAACCCAGTTAATAGAAGCAATCATTCAATCTTGGTTTCACATTAGAACAGCTGCAGAACTAAAAGACTGGGTTCACTCCATGGGAAGACGTTGTAAGGCCATAATTCATACTAAGGGTTACCCAACTTAGTATTAACTGACATGGTGATAATTTTTGTATATCTCGTTTTTTCTACGTGTTTCACTTTTCTTCTTTATACTGTAACTGCTATTCTAATAGCAAATCCTTCATAAAAGTTATCGCATTACATTCTCGATTAAATTATCTTTCCATTGATATATAATTTTATGGTACTACTCCAAAAAAAAAAAAGTGGTGTTATTAGCTAGTTTTAGAAAATACACTTTTCTCAAAAACTTTTCCACAATTTTGGCCACTACTGTATGTTTTCTTGCTTGATGTTTATTACAGCCAGGAATTGGGCATATCAGAGTTGAAAGTGTTACTTGTGTCAGCCACAAAAACACACGGAGTGCAAAATTCTTTGCTCATTTTTCTCCCACAAATTAAAATATTCCTCTCTATTTTTGTCCCTTCTTTTGCCAATCTTTTCCTGAAGTTTGTGTTTTCTTCTTTGTCTCATCTTGGCTTCAGCAGATGCTAAGTCTTGATTTTGGCAAATGGTCCCAGAAGCAGATCTCCCCAACCTGGTGCCTACGGATGCATGGATTTTGCTTCCCTAAATGGACAAATATGGCAACATCCATGTTGGGGGAGGGACATGTCTTCAGCAACTGGGAATGTTTTTATTACCACTGGTAGACTTTAAAGTCACTGGGGGGGGGGGGGGGTGATGCCATACATTTATTTAATCCCTCCTTGGAATTCAACCAATATTTTTTCTATAGAAGGATATAAATAGTTCAAAAGAAACAGACCCAGCAAAAAAGGAAGTGGAATTGCATTGTATGTAAGAAATCACTACGCCTCTACAGCAATATGTAATACCAGAGACGAAAGCCCTCTTGAATGCATTTGGGTAAATATTGGAGGAAAAAGAAATGACATTCCTATAGAATCCCACCCAATCAAGCAGAGAAAATAGATGAACATGCTGTTAATCAGTTAGCTAAGGTGTGTGGAAAATACACCACTGCAGAAATGGGGGGCTTTAACTACCCTGACTTGATACAGTTTTCCAGTACTTGAGGGGCAGCCGCAGAGAAGAGAGGGTTGACTTACTCTCCAAAGCACCTGAGGGCACGACAAGAAGTATTTATTTTATTTTATTTTATTTTATTTTATTTTATTTTATTTTTTATTTTATTTTATTTTATTTTATTTATTTTATTTTATTATTTTATTTTATTTTATTTTATTTTATTTTATTTTATTTTATTTTATTTTATTTTATTTTATTTCTATACCGCCCTTCTCCTGCAGGACTCAGGGCAGTGTACAGCCTAATTAAAAACACAAAGACAGACAAAATTTAAAAATAATTAAAATTATTAAATAATTGGCTCAATTATAACACCCCCAAATTTAAAACTGCACATTTAAAACCAATTAAAATCTTTACATTGATAGCCGGCCTGGCGGAACAACAAGGTTTTGAAGGCACAGTGAAATACACGGAGATCGGAGATCTTACGCATTTCTGGGGGCAGTTCATTCCACAGGGCAGTGGCTCCCACAGAGAAGGCCCTCCCCTGGGTGTCAGCCAGCCGACATAATTTGGCCGATGGCACCCTGAGGAGACCCTCTCTGTGGGAACGGACTGGCCAGTGGGAGGCTACTGGTGGCAAAAGACGGTCTCGAAGGTACCCAGGTCCAATGCCATGGAGCGCTTGTTAAACTTGTTAAAAAGAAAGATCCTACCTGCAACTAAGGAAAAATTTCCTGACAGTGAAAGCAATTAACAAATGGAATAGCTTTCTTCCCAGAGTTGTAGGTGCTCCATCACTAGAGGTTTTCAAGAAAAGATTGGACATCCATTTGTCCAGTATGTTATAAGGCTGTGATGGCAAACCTATGACACACATACCAAAGGTGGCATGGAGCACCCCATCTGATATGACGTCATGCGAGCCGTCGCCCCAATTCAGTTCTGCGTATGCACACACGCCTCCTGCCAGCCAGTCTTCAGGTCTCTGCCACTGGGGGCGGGGGGCGTGCGGGGGGCAGTGCGTGGATGCATGGGGGGTGCACATGGGCAGGGCGCATGTGAGGGGCTGTGCAGGCATGAATGGGTGAGGCTCGTGCAGGGGGTCATGTATGTATGCATGGGGTGGGGGCGCATGCTCTGGTTCCGCAAATTTTATATTTATTTATTTATTTGTATATATTTATATGCCGCCCTTCTCCCGAGGGACTCGGGGCGTCTCACAGAATAAAACAACCCAACAATAAATAGAATTAAAATATTAAAATCCGATTTAAAACCCCAAATGCCCCAAATTAAAATGCATGGAATTTGCTGAAAGAGCCATGTCTTTAGGTCGGCGCGGAAGATGCGGAGGTCGGGGGCTGTACGGAGCCCAGTGGGTAAACCATTCCAGAAGGTCAGGTGTGACCACAGAGAACGCCCTCATCCTGGGGGCCGCCAGCTGACACTGTCTGGCCGATGGGACCTGGAGGAGGGCAGTCCTATGTGAGCGCACTGGGCAGTGGGAGGCCGGTAGGAGGTAGTCCTGCAATGTATGGCTAACATATATTACATTTTGGGGGTTTGGGCGCACACTTATGTTTTGAGCACTTGATCCGGAAAAGGTTAGCCATTACTGGTGTAAGGTCTCCTGCCTTGGGCAGGAGATTGAAATAGAAGACCTCCAAGGTCCCTTCCAGCTCTTTAAATGTTGCACAGAATTATGCATCTTTTAGAGACACCAGAAAGACAACATACTGAACTTGCCTTATACAAAGCAAAGATAAAGTTGTAAATATGGAGACTGCCAAGAGGTCATTGGAAGTTCGGGTTTAATAGGCCCAAGATATTTCAGTTGTCTTGGTGGGTTGACACTCCATTTTCTACAGTCAGGCTTACTATTCATTGTGTACAGTCTATCAAAGACCAGCTGGCTTTTATTTATTTATTTATTTATTTATTTTATTCAATTTGTATACCACCCTTCTCCTAATGGACTCAGGGCGGTGTACAGCCAGAACTAAAACACATAACAATACAAAATTTAAAATTATTAAAAGAATTATATACTTTGGCCCAAATTTAAAACAATTCGAATTAAAACCCATTGACAGATTAAAATTAAACAACTAAAAAAGACTAAAGAAGGGGGGGTTCACACCAGCCCTGCTTGATGGAAAAGAAAAGTTTTCAGGGCACGGCGAAAGACCCGGAGATCTGATATCCTTCTTATCTCCAGGGCAAATCGTTCCAGAGGGCGGGAGCTGCCACAGAGAAGGCCCTCCCCTAGGGGCGCCAGCCGACATTGTCTGGCTGACGGCACCCTGAGGAGTCCCTCTCTGTGGGAGCGTACTGGTCGGTGGGACGCTATCGGCGGCAGAAGGCGGTCTCGCAAATACCCAGTCCTATGTCACGGAGCGCTTTGTGCTAAGGGGAAAGCAAACAGTGTAAACAACTCAAGAAGGCCTGTGCTTTTTTAGAAACAGCAAATGTAAATAGAAAGCATACGTCGTATAACCCCCTTTTCCCCCCTGTGAATGTTGGTATTGCTAAAGAAAACCTCTCGACAGAAGATATAAAGCAACCAGCCAGGAGAAAGTTTGACCATTCTTGAGCTATAAAGCAGGTTAAAAGAATATTTTATTTGGGATTATATGTTGCAGATAAAGTTAGGAATGAACCCTATAATCGTGTTATTAAGTCTAGTTAGCATATTCCGTCTACAAACGTTTCTGATAGTGTGATTATGCAACCTTGCAAAGAAATTTAAAAGATTCCAAATCCTGGGAGTTACTGTACATGTGAGAATGCAGCCAACGTCCACAATTTCATATTCAGACCAAAAAGAGGATTTTTTAAAAAAATAAAAGGTACACATACATTTTGTTTTCTTTATTTTGGAGGACAGTGACTGCCATCTACTGGTGGTGCTCCTGCTTTATTGCTAATCCTTAATCTAGGCTAGATTCTAGACTGGGGGTGTCAAACTCGATTTCATCGAGGGTCGCATCAGGGTTGTGTTTGACCTCAGGGAGCCAGGGTGGGCGTGGCCAGGGTGGTCATGGCCCTCCCACATCATGTCGGGGTGCCTGTGGTGGCCCAAGTGCTCTGCCAGCGAAAACAGGCTCCCGAGCTCCGTTTCTGGCTGCGACGGCTCCTGCAACTCTCTGCCAGTGAAAATGGAACTGTGGGAGCCCTCCCAAGCTCCATTTTCACTGGCAGAGGGCACTGGCACTGGCACAGGGCAGAGGCACCGCAGGCCGACCCTTCACTGTTTCCAGGGTGGTGCAAGCCAGATCTAAGCACCCTGCAGGCCGGATCCAGCTCCCGCCCTTGAGTTTGACATCCCTGTTCTA